TGGCCTGGGCGACTCACGATACAGGATTTGATCCCCGGACCGCTCGCGTAGTGAGCGTGCCACCTGCCACTACACCACTTCCGCCCTTTGTACCACATAGAACGGTTTCGATTGTAGCATGTGTCCAAAGGCAATACATAGCTCAGAAACAAGTTCATTACAAAGCAGTCCAGGATGAAAACAAGAGAAAAATGAACAATTCTCTCGTCTTACCGAGGAGAGGGCAGCATACGGCCAGTAGAGTAAGATGTATTGTAGGTATGACTTACTGGAATTTTTCTGAAACGCCGGGAGCTATCGAATTTTCCAAGGAGGAATATTGGTACCGTGGAGAACCTATATGGGCAACAAACGAAAAGTAGGTTCAACTTGATGAAAAGAGCGAACAATTTCAATTCTTCGATCCGCTTTCGAGGAGCATCATCTGCTCACGTTCACTTTTACTGCCAGTTCAAGGTATTATCAGTGCACCTAAGCCCGCGCGTTGGTCGGCTCTGATCACCGCCTGTGTCCAGAGTTTGCGATTCACGATTGAACGGCATAGGTTTGAGTACCTGTTGGAATGGTGGGAGCACCAGTGGGACATTATTGGCATTGCTGAACCCCACAACTGATAAAATCACTGCATTATACACCCTAATGATTCCACTCACCCTCTTGATATGAAGTAGCAAAGCATATTTGCGCTAGAAAACACGTCAAATATCACGATCGAGATCTCACGCAGCCTCAGGACGTGCAGTATTTCTCGAATGACTGATAGCCTCAAATCTGCATCGGAATGCCCTACACACACCTCAAATCAAAATCAGCGATCACAATGGGCAATTTTCGGGGTCCGTACAAATCCCATCCTGAAGGGGATCACTATACGACCCTTATGATTATCGCTCCCCGGTGATCTTACTTGCAGTCTACTTCTGTCTCACGAAGTCTCAGAATGGATAGGGAAAGGAATTTTGTAAAAACATTAGGCTCTAAAAATAAAAACCTTCAATAAGTACCAAAAACAGTGCGCTGATCCAACCGCCCCCGGGCGATCCCGGGAGTGAATTGAAAATTGCTGCTGAATCTGGCAAAACTTCGGCAATATCTATGAAAATCATTACCATTTCCATGCAGTTATACACCTCTACACAATCATCGCTTTCAGAGCAGATCCCACTAGACATTCAGCTTGCCTTCAATGGCCAGCTTGTGACGCAAGCTTTCCTAAGTTAAACAAGCCGACATACTACACGTTCGTTTTCTGAGTTGTTGCTTTTACGGAAGAAAGTAGTAGATTGAGCCAGCTAAACTAGTTTCCAGGAGCTGGACGCGGGATCAAAGGTATGATGACTGGATGCTTGATATAGACAAAATCATAGAACTTTTCACAAGACAGGACAAACCCATGAATTTCATTGCTTGGTGAGACTCACTTTCCTTACTACAAGTAGAACTCAACCCTTGCGTCCAGTTATTTTGCTAGCTGCCCTCTATTAAACCTTATAACATGAAGCTTAGCACCACAAAAAATCAATCACGTCATTTTTGAAGGTTTATTGATGAACCCGACGCTACACTTCATACGCACGGCTTTTATGACGGTGCATATGTGAACACACTGTCCCGACTTGATGAAGTTTTTGGACATTTGATCAGTGAAATGGAAAAGCGTGGCCTTACGAAGGAAGTCAACATCATATTGACATCTGATCATGGAAATGAACAGGTCTGGCACTTTCTCAGAAAAACAGTCATCGGATTTCTACACCCGAAGTTTCACCTACTGTCTATAAAAATTGCGTTACCGTCCTGAAAGCAAACCTCACGCTAGAGTATAGGAGGGAAGGGATGAAGGCTGGGACGGGAGGGGAGGCGCGCAGTGTGTATAGCACAGCGGCTGAAAGGCATCGCGTTGGCATTAGGGTGAAAATCGCTCGAGGAAAAGACAACGGCTCGTCGAGGATTCTTTCACGCTCTCCCACGCGGATGCTCACTCTCGCCACCTGCGAGCCGTCTGTGCTCTCCGCGCATTCATTCACTCTCGACACTACTCTCGCACGGTAGAGAGCCATGGTCGAGGAAATTCCTCGACCGTTATTCACCCTGGTTGGCATGCATTATCTCCAAGAAACCACCTAAGAGAGATAAGGCTCGATCCCGAAAGCAGCTTTGTTTTTTTTTCGTCAGCTATGTTGCGCTTATGTGCTGGGAGCCTCAATAGAATGTCACCATTCGTCTTTCACGCGGAATACCTACGATGCCGTAGCAGACTCCAAGGAAGCAGAGGTGGATATTGTGGTCCAAATTTGGAACCATGAGTGATGCGCAACTAGTTGATGAAGGGTGTGATTCATTACCACGGTCTTTCAGGGCAAGCCATGCTTTTTCAAAACGGTTTCTTGCATATTGTAGGGACGCATGTAGGGAACACAAAACCATGTTTCATTTTCGCTGAACGGTTTTAGCAGTACCAAAAAAGAAGCATAAGGTACTGTTAATGGTTCGATCCCCCGTGGCGACTAAATTTTGCATTTGGGTTGGCGCCTACGGTTGGTGCCAAATCGCGCTAAATGTCAAAATCAGATGTCATATTCATCGTCAGGACCATTTTGAAGCCAACAAGTGGCCGCCAACCTTGATTGCAAAATTTAGTCGCCGCGGGGATCGAACCATCAAGGGTATTATTCACCACTTTTTTGGTACTACTAAAACCGTTCAGCGAAAACGAAACATGGTTTTGTGGTCCATACATGCGTCCCTACAATATGCAAGAAACCGTTTCCAAAAAGCGCGGCTTGCCCTGAAAGACCCCCTTGTAAGAAAGAAAGCGACCTTTACGCGTTTCGCAGCGCGAAACATTTTTCGCTGCGGGAACCTCAGGTCCACCGCTGATCATGAGTGGACCCGAGGTTCCCGCAGCGAAAAATGTTTCGCGCAGCGAAACTTGAAAAGGTCGCCTTCTATCTTAGTGAGCCACTCCCGTTGATAAATAAATCAAAACTAATCATTGGAAACGCCTGAGTTGCCCGTCTTTCTGCAAATGCTTTCAAGCAGTGTACAAGCCTCCCATGAACAAGCACTGAGATGAGAGAGCACAAGTGGAATGGAAGGTGTAGAGAGAGAGCAAGCGATCAAAAAGGCGCAGACACCAACGCATCCACCACTCGCTTCCATTTCAGAACAATTATCAGTCTTTTAAGCGTTCCTGGGCCTGCATCAAAATCTCTTCGCTCCTTTCCCCCATGCCACGGAACCGCCAACACACCTCCTTGCTTGCAGACAGACCCGCCGTCGTCACGGAAGAAGTAATCCCACACAGCCTACTCTGGAACTTCTCTGAGCGCAAATCTGTGCATGGCCAAACAGACATTTGAGTAGTTTTCCTTGAACTGCTCCACTAGTACGGCCTATATCCCGCCTCTCAATCTTGAACCTTTTCTGATATAGCTAGAAACAACATTTCCCGCGAGAAAAAGAGATGCTGTTACAGATTAACGGCGCAAAAAACATATTCTGTGTAAAGGATTATGTGGATCTTAATCGAGTCAAGTTTGGCGACAACATGATTTACACCGATACTCAAGCCCTTGCTCGTGAAGTGTATAATAATCTATCAAATGCTGTGGATGAGACACGTTTGAAGATCAGAGTTTTTACAAAACATGTGAGTGCTAGTTTTGTTTGCCTTTTCAGCCGAGTAGAAACAACGGAAAATGAAGGAAACTGAAGTAAAGAGGGAAAGGAACTTATTAAATAGTCGACAACGCCAGCATTTGTAACAGCGTAACCCCGCACAGCCTTTAAAGGAAGCGATTACGATAAGGAATTTTCGCATCGGGGGAGAACCTGCGCCACACGGAGCAATTACTTGGCTGCCAAGGAAGCGATGTGTGGCCCTCCCACGGCGAAAGGTGCTGTGGTTGCTGAGCAGGACCCGCGTGACGCCCCGCCCCCAGTGACGTGACGCCCACTAGTTTTGTTGATGATCTGGATGGACTGTTTGCTGTTGGCTTTTCATTTTGGATGATCATTTCCCTTCTAGCGGCTGTATCTTCCAACTTGCCCACGTATTGCCTTATCAATCAAAACACTATGCTTGTTGGCATGATGGCGGCTATCGGGGTTAACACGTCCGAACAACGTCGTTCTTTACCGTCGCTCATCCATGGTCGAAAATGAAAGGGCAATCAAAGGGGTACTATTTTGCTTATTTTTGACGGATTTCTTTGCTTTTTTCGCCATTGGCGTACTATTGAGACCCCACGTCCCCTCTAAACCCCTTTGAGATCTATCGTAATCGCTTCCTTTAAATTCGAGGATTTATTATTATATTTTGATTTTTGTTCGTACGAAATTAGGTACTGCGTTTCTGCTAAACATTTCAATCCTGACAACTGATCAAAAACACTAGCTCCAAACGTGCCATCCACTCATGATATCGCCAAATTTGAAACAAGATATCTAAATCATGAGTTTTTAATTACACACATATGGCAGAGAGAGAGAGAGGAAAGTGAAGTCACCAAAACGTCCGCCTAATACCGACTCAAAAGCAGGTGACTCATGAAATTAGATGTTAAAGAAGGAAAAATGTGTCCACCATGAAACGGGAGAGGACCCCTAAGCGACCAAACGGTGGCGTTCCCGTAGTTAAGAGAGCTCCCGTAGTAACGGAATGAGGCTTACCCTTCCCCCTACATGCACTCGCCATCTGCCCGCCTACCCCAGCAAGTGGTTCTTCGCTATCGAAATTTGGCTTTTCTGGTAGATAATCAGATCAATGCATTCACATAGTTGACGTCAACACCGATGGAGCTGCGGAGAACAACAGGGAAACGAGGGTTCTGTTCTGAGGGTTTCAGATCGCCTTCCCCTTTTTGCTCCACTGATGCATCGACCAGCTCCACTTTTTTCGGGGAAGACCTATCTATCGTATTTTTGGCTCACAAAGGTTCATCTTTTTGCGATCGCTTGCAACCACTGTAACCTTATTCTTTACCCATCATGAAAAAGCTTACTGTACACATTTTCAAAACTAGACAATTCAAAAAAAGATAAAAAAAGCAAAATGAAAATGGGTATGGCTACAGCCCTAATATAGGTCTCAAAGTCCGATGCTATTCACAGCTTGCAGCCCATATGCAGTTGTATGGTTGTCGAAGTGTGAAATATTCTATCAAGGCACAGAAGTCACCCTCGACTCCTCATATACAATCTCAATTTGACCTAGATCTTACTATACAGCTCAACTGCTGCGATCTTTTCATGTCTAATGGTAGTTAAGGGCTTTCCTAATGATCATTTCTACAAGGGAATGTCATCGCGAATAGGTGACGTCATACTCGAACCCGACATCGGTTACTACGTGGATTTCTTTCGTACGAGGAAGCAGTTAGACGAGTATGGTTTACGTTCAACAAAAGTTTCGAACCGCTCCCATTTTTAACAAAACACCTTAACAAGCTTGCACTCGTTCAGGTTCTACGATCACGGAAGGATAAAAGTGAACTTTTCTTACTATGGCCAAGATCCAAAAAATAGCGAAATGCATGCTATGCTTGTTATTGGTGGACCCGATGTCGTCAAGCCTCAAAGAGTTTGTCGATTTAATTTATGAATTTTGAATTTTTTGAAAATGAAAGAATCTTCCCCTTCACAGAGCAGTTTTTGTCACACAAGGTTTTTATAAGCACGAGCCGGTCAAGGATGAAAAAGTGCACGATCAGTGAGACGGGCGAATGGCTAACCGAGCCATCCCATTGACTACCTTGCTTGAATGATAACAAAGGGTGTTGACTTGAAAGCACATTGCCCAATGAACAGATGTAGTCTACTGCATTGAAAACTAACAGTTACTGTAATGACTGGGCTATCAGTAATGGAAGAAAGCTGAGGAATTTCTGTCTTGAAATCAGATTGCGCTGATCGTTTGAGCGGGGTTCTTGGGGTCTCACAATAATCTCATAGGTTGGCCCAATCTTTTCGGCAGATTTTACATAGCAAAAGAGTGAGTAACCGCACAGACTTTCGCAGGAGCGTGGCGCAATGCCCGCACGTACGACCAGCAATGCGCGTGATCTGACATGAGCGGAGAGGGTTGCGTTGAAACCCTTGTAGCAGTTTTCTCTTTAATGAGTGAATAGCAATCCCCAAGCACAAGAGTGATGGTACTGTTGCGACCAGAAAATGCATTAAGGCCTTGCTTCATTGCTGTAAACGCCATTTTCACTTGCTCAAAGCGCACGCCGTCTGTGCGCCCCATTCCGGGCTCTCTCGCACACTTCCTCTTCTCGCTGAGCCGTGTCCCTCCGTCATGCCACGGTCAACCACGCAAAAAATGAAGCCTACAATTCTAGTGTTTTCCATGGTTCTTATCCCTTTGATGCTCTCCCAACAGTTCTCTTCGCGCCTTTTTTCATTTTCTAGATCGTCCTCTTCGTCCCGCTCCTCAGAATGCCTATCTCACCCTCTGCAGGACCTGATCGAATGCATGGCGCGACCAAGAGAAATCCCACGCTCAATAATTCGCTCATTCCGTCTCACCACAACAAGCCATTGCGCTACTTCCAGGAAATAGGGGATAAACGCACAAGAGGTTAGGACAACTCTTATTTTTTAGGTCGGTAGAACCGCACATATTATCGATTTATATCCTTTGATGTGTCACCTTCTTGACATTCCTGCTGCTCCAAATAATGGAACACTCAGCAGGATTGCGTCAACATTTTATCTCAAGAATTACAGACATGGGGTGAGCTTTTGTTTATGTCCAAATTCACGATATCGCATGTCCCCCAAATATTTTATTACCTTAGTATTACCTACCTAATACTCTTGTAACTTAATACTTAACATTCTTCCTTGCATCGAACGATATTCCAGAAAGGAGCATAGAGGCCAGGATCGCACTATGAAAGGGAAATCCCGCGTATGCAGGGTATGGAAAACGAATGGAAAACAACTGTAGGGAACATACAGCTGGCTTGATGAAGACATGGAAGAAAACCATTGCTGAAAATCTTTACAATAGGGGCCTCCTGATGGCGGTTGATACCCGAATTCCCGCTAAGCCGAGGGAGCAATCTTAAAGGAGGATTGCACGGAAAGAACGAAGGTCGAAGAAGGGAGAAATCGCCTAGTGGGGAGAGCGGTGAATCTCTTGAGGGTGCGGACAGACACGCAATCGGCATCGAAAGATTTGACCTCTGAGATCTAGCATGGCTCAAAGTTGGCGAGTTCGGCGATCTCCGCCCACCGATCGTCTGATCACTCGCCGTAGTACAATAGGTGGCGGCAGGGTCAATCCTATGTTGGTACAAGTACCAACGGGGGGGTCGTACTTGCTTCGGTTGTAAGAAGTGGCATGTGATGAGAGGGGAGCGGCGCGGGAGAAAATTTGCCGTTTCAGCGCGCGTATATACCCCCCCCCCCTCGACGGTAATTTTGGAGGAAAAAGTGGGCGGAGTTTGGTGGGTTGAGAGTGGTACAGAATTAAATACTATAGAGAGGAATGATGGTGGTCGAGGTGTGGAAAAGGGGGTCGTACCAAATCCACCTTGGGGGAGGGGGGTCGTAAAAATTTTTGAAAAAGTAACAACGATAGGACCGACCCTGGTGGCGAGTGATTAGATAGCTGAGAGAGCGTAGTGTTGAAGAGGGCACAGCGATGAGAGTCGCATCAATGCTCAAATCAACGGGCAAGGAAGGGGTCCCATTTCTCGGGTTCTGGGCCGTTTCTCATGGTTCTTCCTTCTTTCGTGTACCACTCACCATCCTACCTTAATTTGAATGGGTTGCTTTTCCATCGTAAATTCGTCCTTTAAAGGGAATGAGAGTAACCAAGCAGCGCATCATTCGACTATACTCACTCGCATTAGAGGATGAGCGAGGATAACGTCGCGTTCAAAAAATTGCCGCGGCAGTACGACCCCTTCGAAACAGTTACAACTTCACAATTATAATTCCATCAACTGCAGGTGAACGGGGAGGGGGTATGTGACCTAACCATAAGCGATTTTCACATGTTACGCTTATTGCCCACCCACATTCCCTACCCACTTACGACGCTCCAAAAATCAAATACTGCTCCACTCCTTCCACCACAAAGGTATCACACCAACCGTATAAGAATCTTTTTTAGCCCCTCTCCTAAAATAGCAAAAAATACCTGCAAGAGTTTCTACACAGTGCAACTCTAATTTCATGAATAAATTGTCGTGTTCAGTTTGACAACGGACTGCTGTTAGTCGCCGTACCGCTGCTGGGAATAATCGTATTGTAATATTGTTATTCTCTTGTTACTCAGCAGTACCACGTTGATTGTAATCGCTTACCAGTTCAATGGTCCGCCTTGCATAGAATCCTGCTCCGGTAGGAGTAGTGAAAGAATTTTAGTCAATCCTTTATTGCACTCATCGCTTTTACACTGTTGGTCCTCCATAAAATTTGAAGGTGGCTGTCGATGTTTACTAGGATGTCAATAGTCTCGCTTATGACACCTACCCAGCTTGCCGTCTAAACGTGGGTGGTCGGTATACCCGTGTCCCGAAGTTTCGGCAAGCTCTTATGACTCCGCCTGTGGCTGGAGGGCATCATTGCCGACTGATGCGGGTCTGTGTCATAAGGTTGAATTTAGCTGTATGCAAGATGACTTCTGCCACCTCTTTTCTACCGTCCTCCTTGGACCATTCCGTTCCTCAGTACTATCTCTTTCTCATCGGCTTCATTTCTTCATCTTAGCATCACTGCAATGTGGTCCGCTTGACTGGTAAGCTTTTTCATCCTTTCTTTATTTGCATTTATCGCTCTGCAGTCTATCCGATCCTTTCACTTGCGCGTAGTTTGTTGATTTTTTACTCTAGAGCTCTTTGTGATGCAGCAATCACCCTCATCTTATTTTATACTTTACACTTTGTTTTCCTTTGTTTTCATTTTTATGTTCTTGTTAGTTATCGTTGAAGTCCTTAACAGCTGCTACCTCTATCTGCCCTCTTGCTTGACTTGTTAAAGCGCGTCTCCTGGGCGCACAGTAAATAAATAAATAAATAAATAA